GGTAACTTCACTGCAAACCCCTTTCAAGAAGAAATAATTTTTGAAAATTACACATACCTTAAACATTAAAAGGAGGCCTTTCTCTAGAGAAAAACCCTGTTGCCATGTAGTCTGATTAACATTTATTTAACAGCATGGTCTAGGAAGAATGTGCATAGGGCAGCTGGAGCCTACAAGCACGCACACACACAGACACAGACACACACAGACACACAGACACACAGACACACAGACACACAGACACACAGACACAGACACAGACAGACACAGACACAGACACAGACACAGACACAGACACAGACACAGACTCACTCACTCACTCACTCACTCACTCACTCACTCACTCACTCTCTCACTCATTCACCTGGCTAAGGGCAGAGCTCAGAGCTCTTTCTTCTTCCCTGAGCCTTCCTTAGGCTTTCTGTGTGAACTCCTCCTTTCCCTGTGATGAATTTGAGGGTATGCCCTTTTACCGGCTGGTTTTGTGTCATCTTGACACAAGCTGGAGTTATCACAGAGAAAGAAGCTTCAGTTGAGAAAATGCCTCCATGAGATCCTGCTGTAAGGCATTTTCTCAATTAATGGTCAAGGGGGGAGGGCTCTTTGTGCACTTAAGGTTTTTTTGAAAAGCAGATGGTCTCTCTTGAGTTGCTTTGTGTGACTGACATTTCTAATGAATTAGTGACAGAAAAATTAAATGTGCTGGTTTCCAGTTAGATCATTTCATAAATGCCAAATTCAGAAGAACAGTATCTCATGAATTTAGGCAAACTGGCATTAAGGAGACAAGGCTAGCTGCTCGTGAATATAGCACATTGGCATTTCCCAGGGCTCTAGCCCAGGGACTATCCTTTTCATCAAAACATTTTTTTTTTTGTAGCTTATGCTGTAAGATCAAGAATTGACAAATGGAACCTCATAAAATTACAAAGTTTCTGTAAGGCAAAGGACACTGTCAGTAGGACAAAATGGCAACCAACAGATTGGGAAAAGATCTTTATCAATCCTACATTCGATAGAGGGCTAATACCCAATATATACAAAGAACTCAAGAAATTTGACTCCAGACAACCAAATAAAACAACTAAAAATGGGGTACAGAGCTAAACAAAGAATTCTCAACTGAGAAAACTCGAATGGCCGAGAAGCATGTAAAGAAATGTTCAGCATCCTTAGTCATCAGGGAAATGCAAATCAAAACTACCCTGAGATTAGTCAGAATGGCTAAGATCAAAAACTCAAGTGATAGCAGGTGCTGGCGAGGATGTGGAGAAAGAGGAACACTCTTCCATTGTTGGTGGGATTGCAAGCTGGTACAACCACTCTGGAAATCAGTCTAGCATTTCCTCAGAAAATTAGACATAGTATTACCTGAGGACCCAGTTATACCACTCCTGGGCATATACCCAGAAGATGCTCCAACATATAACAAGCACATATGCTCTACTATGTTCATAGCAGCCTTATTTATAATAGCCAGAAGCTGGAAAGAACCAGATGTCCTTCAACAGAGGAATGGATACAGAAAATGTGGTACATTTACACAATGGAGTATTACTCAGCTATTAAAAACAATGAATTCGTGAAATTCTTAGGCAAATGGATGGAACTAGAAAATATTATTCTGAGTGATGTAATCCAATCAAAACTGAACACACATGATATGTACTCACTGATTATTGAATATTAGCCCAAAAGCTCGCAATACCCAAGGTACAACTCACAGATCACATGAAGCTCATGAAGAAGGAAGACCAAACTGTGGGTGCTTCAGACATTCTTAGAAGTAGTAACAAAATACTCAAGGGAGCAAATATGGAGACAAAGTGTGGGACAGAAACTGAAGGAGGGGCCACCTGGAGACTGCCCCACCTGGGTATCCATCCCATGTGCAATCACCAAAGGTAGATGCTTATTTGGATGCCAGGAAGTGCATGCAGACTGGAGCCTGTGCATGCAGACTGTCTCCTTAGAGTTCTGCCAGAGCCTGACATATACAGAGGCAGATTCTCACAGCTAACCATTGAACTGATCAAGGAGTTTCCAATGGAGGAGTTAGAGAGAAGACTGAAGGAGCTGAAGGGGTTTGCGGCCCCATGGGGAGAGCAACAACACCAAACAACCAGAGCTCCCAGGGTCTAAACCACCAGCCTGGGAGCACATAGAGGAGCATATAGGGAGGTACCAATGGCTCCAGATATATATGTTGGGCATAGATGGGAGAGGAGATCCTTGGTCCCATGAAGGCTGGATGCCCCAGTGTGGGGGAATTCGAGGCTGGGGAGGTGGGAGTGGGTGGGTGGGTGGGGGCACATCCTCATAGAAGCAGGAGGAGGGGGGATGGGATAGGGTGTTTCTGGGTGGGTGGGGAATGGGGAAAGGTGATAACATCTGAAGTATAAATAAAATATCCATTTTTTAAAAAAAGATGCAGATTCTAAAAACAAAACAAAAAAATTCTTACACTTTGTTACATTGAAAAATATCTAAGTTGCCATATATGTAATTATAGAAGATTCTCCACTGTGGGGGAAAATGGCCCAAACAGGTAGGTTCAGTCTTCAAAAATGTAAAAGGCTGTTGATACATTTTACATTGTTTGCATAAGAGGTTCAGTTGGAAAAGCTTAGGACTAGGCGGCTCCAGATACTAGAAGCTTCCTCAAGTTTTTTGCATTCAGTGGACTCCAGTCTGGATGATTTTGTTCACTGACGGGACGGAAGGCATTCAGAACCAAAAGCTGGTGACTAGGACTTAAAAAAAGCAAAGAGGCACACCAAGGATGTGCTTTGCTGTTTATAAATTGAAAGGTAAAACAACTGTCTACCAATGCCCAGGATGGCGTTTCACAGAACAGGGCTAATTTATTGAGTGGCAATATGAAAATGATACTCATCTTCACACGTTAACCATGGAATCTAATAGGCTGTCTCTGTACAAATACACAGGTGTGTACTGACACTAGGTTTGATGTATTTTCTATTGCTCAAATTGATATAGCTATCTATACTCTACATTTGCCTTAAAGGTTTTAGCTATACTTAAAGTATTACTCGATGGGTTATCTTGGGCTGCCCGAGTACATTTAAATTCACATTGAACAGTGTTTTAAGCCATCACTCCTTATCCCTTCTGTCCTTAAATCTTGAATATTTTAGGTTAATTTTTGCCTTTGGTAACAAATGTGTCTGACAATGTAAAAAGACTCATTTCCCAAGAATTAGATGTATGGAAATCTGTCACAGTTTCCATGTATCCTGCCATATAATCTGACTGAGTGTGAGGTGATGCTGATTCCCTGTGAGTAAATCTTTCAGAACAAGCCAACATGAGCCAGACTAGCACGATCTTTATGGTCACTGACAAGAGACTTTCACCGTTCTTAATTCTGTGTGGATGTCACATAGCACTGTGCTATGTTAAGGGAGCCACCTAGCTAGTGGAAAAGCACAGATTTTTTTTGTCATCACTTCGCACTTGAAACTTGTCTCTGACGAGAGACACCAGTATGAAATACCTTCTCAGAGCTTCAGGGTCTCCGTGTGTAAAATGGGTTTCTTGTGGGGTTCTGTGATAGTGTTATGGACTGAAAGTGTTGTCCTTAAATGTGTGAGAAAGATGAAGCCTCACTCCCAAGATGACTGTATTTGGAGGCAGGAACTCTGAGGAAGCAACTCAGTTAAATAAAATGGTAAGGGTAGGGTACCGATGCAGAGGATTCCGTGTTCTTTTTTTTTTTTTTTTTGTTTTTGCCCATTAATTAATTTACATCCCAATTGCAGCTTCCCTTCTCCAGTTCTCCCTTACAAGCCACTCCCCCCACCCCTCCCCTTCACCTCTGAGAAGAGGTGGTCCTTTCTTGGGTACCAATCTACTCTGGCACCTCAAGTCACTAAAGAACTAGGCAAACCTTCTCCCACTGAGGCCAGACAAGGCAGTCCAATTAGAGGAACAGGATCCACAGCCACAAGATTCTTTCAAATACAAGCAAGAGCCTCAATAGTTTTCCTGTTTTTTTTTTTTTTTGTTATATTAAATTATATACAACTAGGTATACGGGTTTTCCCAGCTCACATGCATAGTTTTATCTTTACTAACTTTCATCTCTCTAGGAGGATTGTATGTTCTTCATGTGAAAAAAGACACTGGACACTTAATTTCCCCCCCCACTTCTCTCCCTCCTTCTAGTTGAAATGAGGTAGCCTTGCAATCCATTAAAAAACAAAAACAACCAACCAACTAACCAACCAACCAACCAACCAACCAACCACCAACCAACCAATCAAAAACCAAAAACCAAAACAAAAAACCAGAATCACCTGGTGACAAGAACCACTAGAAATAAACTTGTGGTGCTTAGGATACACAGTCTGTGGTATTTTGGTGTAAGAGCCAAAACTCGAACACACACCTCTGTTACACACCCAGTACAGAGCTGACACCAGGTAAATGGCTTCAGGTAGCCACACTACAGTCTGTGCCACACCCTATCATATTGGTGGAACCTGTGTGATCCAACTATCCTCAGTGTGCTTGGCAGTTACTTCAGAAAAATGCTGTGAACACTGCCCAAACACTTAAAATTAATACATTAAGTATTATACTATTCATGTGTTATGATTACGTGTATTAATATATTCAAAGTCTACTCCGAGAAGTTCATAAAACTATATTGTCATGTTAGTTAATAGCAATAATAAAACTGTTACTGAACACAGCAGTAATAACGATGGTAATAAATTGCCAACGAACATACATAGTTTGCCGTCATCATATGAGGCAGAGGTCATGAGAATAATTTCTACACACTCCAATTAAGTATAGCTTGGATTGGCATGGTACCCTGAGACCACTTCTTGCAGAAATGCTAGAAATAACTGGTTGCTAAACAGCTGAGAACACCTATCCATACACTTTCACCAGGGCTGGCAGCTCTTAATGAGGTTTCACCAGTGTGAGGTATACATTACGGTATAATCTAACGTCAACTTGAGGGATACCTCTTCCATACAGCTGCTCTGGGTCTTTTCTGTCAGCCGCTCTCCAGTCACATTCCTTATGCAGGACCCATGCCTGGCTGTCTCAGGGTAGACCTCGAAACACAGACTCTGGCAGTCAGGGTCATTTGTAATTGTAGGGCAAGCTGTCCTCTCATCTGCCTGTGAGGCTGGAGGAAATTCTGAAAGCTGAAAAGGTAAAAATAATACAGCCTCACTGCTTGAAACAACAACAATAAAAAAAATCTCAGAATTTCAACTGCTGTTTTGTGAATAAAACTTAGTAATTAGCTTGCATTCCTTTTGTTTGGTTATTTCAAAGCTGGGTAAAACCAGGGAGAAGTATTTGGAGTTGCAAGAACTGCATAGGCAACTTGGTTTGTGACCTCAATGAAGACAGGACACACGGAGGTTCTAGGATGCAACTGATATGCATTGCATGGGAAACTGGATGAGTTTTGTGTGTATCACACATGTGCAACTGGCTGAGGAAGCCAGAAGGTACTAGATAACCCTGGAACTGTAGCTATGGTAGTTGTGAGCTGCCTGTGGGTGCTGGGAATCAGACTCTAGCCTTGTAGAAGAACAGCAAGTCACCAAATCATGTCTCCAGCCCTGTGACTGGTAGTTTTGCTCTTGCTTTATTTTTGATTTTCATTTGTTGACATTTGCCTGAAAGTCTCAAGTAAACACTGGGTACCTAAGGTGCTATTTACTCAGGACCCTGGCCTAAAATTTCAGGCATGGTGGTCTTTGGGCTTCTAATCCTTAAGAATGAATTTAACGGGGAATTATAAATCCAGGTCTCCAAGTATAGAATATTATGGATCAGCTCTAAGAATCTTTATCTGTGAACATCCCTGGGAATTTTTTCACTGTCTCACTGCTGGTGATCTGGAGACATCGATCTCAAAGCTCTTGACTTCCTTCAGCCCAGGAATGGTTCATGGAGAATGGAATTGTCTTTATTCCAGTTCTCCCTCATTCCAACCTTGTCTTAGCCATCCACCTCCTCTACCTCCCACATCCCTCCAGCCAGGAACTGTTTTTAGTGTGACTGCTGCAAGATCCCATAGAGAAGGTTGCTATTGCCCCATGCAGCATGACATCTAGTTCAGCACCTTGACCAGCACTCAGATCTTCACAGGTAGTGAAAAAAACAAAACAAACAAACAAGCAAAACATGTGCATCTGCACACTTAGCTATTTCTGCAGTGATCTTCATTCACATCCCTCCTTAGTGTTGACTTTAAAATCTTATAGTTTGTGGACTGAACATGTAATGCTATGAGGGCTAGTGGTTTTGTCCTTTGGCATCTCTTATCCACCATCCTTCAAATTAAACATATGTTTATCGAGTGCCAACAAGGCAGACACAGTTCTACCCTTGGGAAACTTAATGCAAAACCCAGACCAAAACAAAAGCATATTGTCATGTCATGCACAAAGCCCAGGGAGGAAAGCAGACATAAAAATAAGGAAACGGAAAGGAAAGGGTCCAGGGAGGATACTTTAATTCAGATGGTGCTCACGGAGCTCTCTGCAGAAGAAATAGGTATGTAGACAGAAGATAGAATAGTTTAAGCCATGCCAAGGTGCCAATGGAATCCATTAGAATTAAATAACAGCACCATGAAGAATAGATGGAATTATATGGGATCAAAATAGTCTAGAGTTTTTAACATATGCTACCAAGAAAGTGGTAACTAATTTACCTAGTACATTGAACATGCATTATGTATTTCATGCGTGTTTACAAATGTGTGAATGACAGCTATGTGTAGAAATAGGGGAGGAAGGTCTTATATATTGTTCTTCACCTTCAACTTTGTTTGAGGCAAGGGTTCCGTCTATCTATCTATCTATCATCTATCTATCTATCTATCTATCTATCTATCTATCTATCTATCTATC